CCAGGAACTTTATTCTCTATTCAATTGACAGTAAGAGTTCCTTAGTACGAGACCCATTCAGTCCCCTTGGGATCAGGTGCTGTTTTAAAGGTCACCCCAGAATCAATCTTGTCAACCACAGTGGCCCCCTCAAATAATAGCTATTTTGACAGCCAGGGCCTTCCTATAGGTGACACTGATCCGCTTTGGTCACTAATGGTCCAGACTTACCAGGTACTCAATGATACCAGGCCAGACCTCACCTCATCATGCTGGTTATGTTATTCATCAAGGCCCCCATTATGAGGGGATTGCATTCATAGGAAACACCACCCTAGCACCAGACCAAGGCAGCTGTAGATGGGCTCAACAGGAAGGAATCAGGCTTACGCTACAAGATATTTCAGGGTGAGGGCTATGTATAGGCAAGCCCCCTCATGAATACACTGCCCTATGCGACCAGACTCTGCCAGTGCTGGCCAATAACTCGTACTTGCTACCACCAGATCAAGGATGATGGGCATGTACTTTGGGATTAACCATGTGTTCATTCTAAAGTTCTTAATCAATCATCAGATTTTTGTGTTCTAGTACAACTAATCCCTAGAACTATTTGTCATTCAGACCAGGATATAAATAGGTCCCTGACTGGGTAAGGACCCCTTCACCATAATCACCAGGAAAGAGAAGTTGTTACTGCCATCACCCTATCCGTTCTTCTGGGATTGGGACTGGCAGGAGCAGGTACAGGAATTTCAGCCTTGACCTTACAAAACCAAAACTACCATAGCCTTAGAGCCACAAGAGACATGGACATCCAGAACTTAGAAAAGTCTACTTCCCATCTACAAGAATCCCTGGCCAAGGTTAGAAAAAGTCTGGCTTGAAGAGAGAATGAATATAGGGCTAAACAAGGATGGTTTGAATCCTGGTTCAATAGTGCCCCTTGGTTGATCACTTTGATTTCAACCTTACTTGGACCCCCTCCTTATTCTGATTATGCTCTTGACTTTTGGGCCTTGCGTTTTAAATAAACTGGTAGCTTTTATAAAAGAGTGGCTGGGAGCTATACAGCTAATGGTAATGCGAACCTACTATCAGTCCCTCCAGAGTCTGGGTGATGAAGAACATGAGATGAGGGAGAACCCATGATTGGGCCCCCAAGGTACTAGTCAGAGGAGGGAATGAGAGACCCTAAGAAAAACCACAATACTTGCAACAGATAGAGAACAACTCCCCCCTGCCAACAGTCAAATAACCAGGGACAGGAAAGTACTAAAAGTCCAGATATCTTTTCAGATTTCCTGAAGCCAGCAGTTTATGCTTTGGCACTGAGCTGCAACCAATCAGATGCTTGCCAGACTGAAGACCCCCTACTCCCCTACTTGCTGAACTTGCTGAAATAAACCTATAAAAACCTCTGTCTCCCAAAGCAAGGGGTCTCACATCTGAGATCTGCTGAGTCGGTGACAGAGTGGACCCAAGCTTAAGCTTGTAACAATAAAAGAACCCTTGTGTATTTGCATTGGTCAGCTCCTTGGTGGTCTTTGGGGTCTCGTGAACTGGGCACAATAGTATTATTTCAGTTGTGCTGTTACCGACTCATCTATGCATATCTACTGCTTTCTCTTGCTGCATTTTCCCATGTTTCCAAATTTTGTGACATTACTACTTTACTCTTACTCTCTTTAAAAAAAAGATTGTCAGGTGTGGTGGCATATGCCTTTAATCCCTGTACTTGGTAGGCAGAGGCAGGTGGATCTCTGTGAGATTCAAGCTACCCTGATCTACATAGTAAGTTCCAGGTCAGCTGGGGCTACAGGGAGAGCCTTTCTTTCTTTCTTTCTTTCTTTCTTTCTTTCTTTCTTTCTTTCTTTCTTTCTTTCATCCTTCCTTCCTTCCTTCCTTTTTTTCTTTTTTAAAAATATTTTATTATTTTTATTTTCTGTATGTGAATGTTATGCCTGCATGTAGGTAAGTGCGCCCATGTCATGCAATGCCCGAGGAGGACAGAAGAGGCCGTCAGATCCCCCGGAACTGGAGTTATGGATAGTTGTTAGCTGCCATGTGGGTGCTTGGATTCAAACCCTGGTCTTCTGTAAGAATAGCCAGTATTCTTAACTGCTGAGCCATCTCTCCAGCCCCAAGATCCTGTTTTTAAAAAGAGAGATTTATTATTTATTTGTGTGTGTATGTGTATGTGCACGTGGGTGCAAGTGCCTAAGGAGGCCAGAAGAGGGCATCGGATTCCCTGGAACTGGAGTTACAGGTGGTTGTGAGGTGCCCAATTTGAGTGCTGGGAACTAAACTTGGGTCCTCTGCAAGAGCAGCCAGTGCTCTTAACTTCTGAGCCATTGCCAGCCTTCTACTTTCCTAAAAATCAAAATTATTCAGGGGCTGGAGAGATGGTTTGGCAATTAAGAGCACTGGCTGCTCTTGCAGAAGACCCTGGTTTGAATCCCAGCACCCACATGGCAGCTAACAACCATCTGTAACTCCAGTTCCAGGGGATCTGACACCCTCTTCTGACCTCTGAGGGCATTACACAACACAGGTGTACTAACATACATGCAGGTTCATACTCATACTCATACACAAAAAATAAAAAATAATAAAGACAATTTTTTTTTCTTTTTGAGGTAGGGTCTCCCTGTAGCCCCAGCTGTCCTGGAACTCACTATGTAGACCAGGCTGGCCTTGAACTCACAGAGATCCGCCTGCCTCTGCCACCCGTGTGCTGGGACTAAAGGCGTGCACCACCACGCCCAGCCAAAGATAAAATTAAAAAAAAATCAAAATCATTTACTTATAATGTATATGTAAAGCATACCCAGCTGAAGTGTGCATTTATAATCACCACCAAGGTCAAGCTATGGAAGGTTTCTACCATTCCAAAAAGTTCACTTTTACCACTTTCTGGGCAATCCCCCAAATCTTGGTCCTAGGTCACACTGTTCTCTGTTCCTACAGGTTAAATTACTCTTCTAGATATTCATATAAGTGGCTGGGTGTGGTGGCACATGTATTTAATCCCAGCACTTGGGAGGCAGAGGCAGGCAGAATACTGTGAGTTTAAGGCCATCCTGGTCACTCACTACATGGTGAGTTCTAGGCCAGCTGGGACTACAAGTAGACCCTCTCTCAAAAAGACAAAAAAAATTCATATAAGTGGAATGATACCATGAGTGGGCTGGTGACAGATCTTGCTGTGTAGCCCAGGATGGCCTCAAACTTTCCATTGTCCTGCTTCAGACTCCTGAACATCAGGATTAGCATGTGCCACCAACCCTGGCTCAGTGCATACTCTGTCCTCTTTTGTGTCTGATACATTCACTCAGACTAATGTCCCTGAGGTTCATCTATGTGGCTGCAAGCATTCGGAGTTCATTCTCACCCCTGTCCTTTTAAAACAAAGGAGGTTTTTTTTTTTTTCCTGCTGATAAATCCTTCTTTCTTCCCTGTTTCTCAATTCTAATTTCCCATTGGACACCACATGTTGAGCTTCCAATAGTCTTCTCTTCCACAGGTTCTATAATCCAAGATGACTAAAAAGAGCTGGAAGTTGACTAAGACATTGCCTTCACCCAGACTTATCCCTAAGTGGAAGGATTTGAAACTCCTCATAGATAATAGCCTGAAACACACAGAGGTGATGTATATGAGAATTATGAACATGGTGGGCCCTGGACTAATGATCTATTCCTGTCATGGGAGGTTGGGGCATGAGTGAGACGTGAACAGTTTGGGAGAGGGTTTCCCATATAGTCAAACAACCTTTTCTACATTAAGATGATAGCACTAGGCTGGGGATGGTGAGTTTATGCCTATAATCTCAACACTTGGAGGCCGAGACAGGAGTATTACAAGTTCTAGACCAGCTTGAGACCCATAATGAGACCATGTTTCAAAACAGACAGACAAACAAACAAAGGCAATTGGAACACTTTGTGCTATAAGTAACAGAAAATGGACTTATAGGAGTTTAATAAATAGAAGGCATCTATGTGCCACATCATCAAGGATTTATGTTCTCTTTGTTTCTTTAATGGCTTTCTTAGTGTTCTGGATAGCTTTGTCACCTTGACACACCTGGTTAGAGGGAACATCAATTGAGGAACTGTCTCCGTTAGATTGGCCTGTGGGCATGGCTGTGGGGCATTTTCTTATTGTTGAATGGTGTGGGAGGACCCAGCCCACTGTGGGTGGTGCCACTCCTGGTACAGATGGTCCTGTATTACATAAGAAAGCAGGCTGAGCATGGGTAGGGGGAACAAGCCAGTAAACAGCATTCCTCCACAGTCTGTGCTCCAGGTTCCCACCCGGAGTTCTTACCTTGGATTCCCTTGATGATGGACTTTGTTTGTAAACCACGTAAACCCTTTCCTTCCCAAGTTGGTTTTGGTTAATGTTTTTATCACAGCAATTGAAGGCAAACTAAGACACTTGGTATGTTAATTACCATCTAAGTTAAGTACTGTAGTTGCAAGTGTAACCCTTCAAATTATAACAAATAGGTAGCTAAAGCAAGGTCAGAGAGTCCTGGACTGGGCCAGCCTTAGAGTGCCATAGTAATTATCCTATAATGCCAGAATTTCTAGTTCCACCATAATCCTAAATAAAACCATAGTTTCATTGACACAGGAAGAGTGGGAGGAAGAAGGAGAAGAATTGTTACAATATAGGCAGCAGAGTCCTCTGCAGTGCAGTTTTGATAGTGTTCAATGAATGAATGCTTTATACATGAAACCACCGGCATATATGTGACACACACACACACCCCACACACAGACAAAAAATGTTTGGCTCTTTGATTATAGACAGGGGCCCTGAAAAATTGTCCCAACTGTGACAGGTCTGCATATTAGCCAGGGCTGGCTTCCTTCATCAAGCTCACACAGGACTATGTTCCGGCTTTATGAGCACTTATTATTTGATAAATTCAGCTAGTTATGTGCTCATGTTCTGTTTTCCCCATGGACTCCTCTGTGTGTGTGTGTGTGTGTGTGTGTGTGTACGCATGCATGTATATTGCTGAAGACTGCTACGTAAGTGTTCTACCCCTGAGGTACACCCCAAGCCCAGGAGTTTTATTTATGAATTGATTTTTTGCAGTACTGGGGATCAAATCCAGGGCCTTGTACATGTCAGGCAAGTGCTCTACCACTAACTTATATCCACAGCCCATTTTTTTGCCTCAAGATTCCTTTTATTATCTTTTATTTTATGTGTATGAGTGTACTGACTGCCATATGGGTGCTGGGAATCAAACCTGGGTCCTCTGCAAGAGCAGTCAGTGCTCTTAACTGCTGATCCATCTCTCCAGCCTGATTCTTACTTTCATAAAGAACCAATACCATATTTCTTCTGCTCACCATCATATCCCCAGTACCTTTCAAGAACCTGTCAGCTTTATCTATGCTGTATAGTACAGGCCTGTAATCCCAGCTACTTAGGAAACTAAGGCAGGAGGATCATAAATTCAAGGTCTAGCTGACTTACAGAGTGAATGCAAAGCAACTTAATTTAGTAAGACTCTTGTAAAATAAAAAGTAAGTGGGGTATGGTGGTGCATGCCTTTAGTCCCAGCACTTGGGAGGCAGAGACAGGCAGCTCTCTGTGAGTTCAAGGCCAGCCTGGTCTACATAGTGAGTTCCAGGCCAGCTGGGGTTACAGGGAGACCCTGTGTCAAAAAAAAAAAAAAAAAAAAAAGAAAAGAAAAACAAAAATGAAGGTGTGTCTCAAGAATAGAGCACTTGCATAGACTTCACCTGTGAGGGGCTGGGGGCATGGCTCAGTGGCAGAGCACCTGCCTAGAACCCCCAATGAGGGGCTGGGGCATGGCTCAGTGGCATATAGGTTCCATTCTTAGTATTGAAAATAAACCACAGCATCACAAAGAACCAATCAACCTTCCTAAACTGTGCTTCCTTGTCTGAACCAGGGGCACAGGAAATGCTTTGAGAGCTGCTTCTCAATTTTCTTAACACTACTTAACTAGGAGCAGTCTAGATGACATTACATAGAGGATATTAGGGTTTACTTTTCTCCTGGAACCTTGGTTGAGAAAGCCTAGAAGGTGCTCTGATCAGTACAGGATACTGTTGCAAACTGACGACAAGGGAGGGGTGACTTCCCCAGTTATGCTTCCCAGCAGCAGAACAGGTTAGGTAGAAACAAACCAAACCAGTGTTCACTAACCCTTCATAAATATCTACTCAATGAGTAAGTGGGGACTGAAGCTCTCAGTTCTAGGCATTCTTTCTCAGATCAAGGAAGAATTCAGGAATGATGCCCTTGTCTTGAGGACTGGCCTGGGACTCTACCAGGAGACTCATCATTCACAGAACAAGCCTTTTGTCCCACTTCTACTCCATCGATACCAACTATTTTATCTCCTTAAACTGGATGGAACAGTATGAAAAACAAATGCAGGTAAATCCCCTTCATTCTAGCTTTCTTCTTCTGTCATAATCCAGTTTACATGTACCATATCTAAAATGCCCTTATTTCAGAATGATGACTCTGAATAAGCCCATATTTTTTGTTTTTTTATTTATTCATTCAATCATTCACTTATTGAGACAGGGTCTTCTTATGTAACCCAGGCTGGCTTTAAACTCAGTATGTAGTCCAGGCTGTCCTTGAACTTGAAATCCTCCTACCTCAGCATCCTAAATGCTGAGATTATAGGCATGTGCTACCACACCCAGCACATTAGTTTATTTTATCTCCATGTTCCTGTTTGACTCAGGTATAGAGACCCTTTTATACTTTGAATTATCAGGCCCAAACAATTCATATTTCTTAGAAAGTAGACTGAAGACCAACAAGAGATCCTTGACCAGGGACTTCTGCCACATACCCAAAGCGTAGGACTAGGAAACTCCCAAAGTCAAAGTGTCTCTTCTTTCCTTAGTCCTCAAGAAGGAACAGGGATCTAAATTGTAAAGCCCTTCCCTATGGTACAATCCTGGGAGATCTGTTCCTTTGACCAGGCTGTTTTTCATCCTCTTCTAGGCAGTACTTTGGATACAGGACAAAAATGCAAAGAGGAAAGGAATTATCAAGAAGATGAAATTTCCCATGATGGCTCAAGTGCTACCATTAAAACAATGGTCCACGTGGGTTCCCACCACATGTTAATTGCTTATTGTGATGACATGTGCTTGTGGCTTTTTGGAGACCATCATCAGGCATTCACATCTCTGGGCATATCCATCAGCTACCTCTGCTATGATTCAGAAACTGGACACTCTTTTCTGGCACTTTGGGAGCTGTGGTTACCTGGCTTATTTTACCAGAGGTCAAGGGCCTCCAGATGGGTCAAACTGTGCCCATGAGTGGTTGTGAGCTTATGCAGGGCCTTTCCCTGAATGCCTCCCTGGGCTTCTTGCTGGCTCTGTGTAAGAATATGGTCAGGGTCTTTACCCACCAAGGTCAAGGCCAGCTTAAAGAAGTGAAGACGTTCACTGACACAGCCAGTGGCTCCTTCCTCACTTGCTCCTATAGTTGTGTTCCCCAGAACACTTTCTATGCTGGAAACAGGGGTGGAGAGATCCATTCTTGGGGTCCAGATGAGGGTAACTTCCTCCACAGCTTCAAGGCCCACTCCTTATCAGTGATAAGTGTGTACAGTCGGCCTGAGACCTATACTTTGTTCAGGTGGTGAGGGTGTTTTGAGGGAGTGGAACCTTGCTTCTGGGACCTTGCTGAGGCAGCTGAGCATTGATGAGAATCTGCAGCAACTGCAGTTTATTGATAGCACCATTTTTTTCTGCCAGAGTTCCTCCAGTTTCTCACTGCACCACCTGCCCCACTTTTACAGTCTCTTCAGTATCTGCGGTTCTGCTCCTCAGAAGATCCAGACGGTTTACTGTGGCCATAACTGGACTCGGATCCTGTGTGCCACGGCTTATTGCTTCTTATCCCTAGTAACAGGGGGTCTCCTGGTTGTGACCTGGCCTCTTCTTGCCACAGATAATGGTGTGGCTTGGGCCTATGACTCAGAGAGAGAGGAGCTCTTTGTGGCAATAAGCAGCCCAGAGGTGCTGGTGTTTGATGCAACACATTCTCCTTGTACAGCCAAGTATCTTTTGTGTACTACAGAAAACCAGAGAGATAAAGTCAAATGCCTATCTGCTTATCTGAGGTCCCATTTGGGCCAGAATCAAAAAGGACTGATGTTTTGTGGGCATGAGAGTGGTATTGTGAGAATCCTCTCCCAACACTGTTCTACCAGAACAGAGAAGACTGTTCACTCCAGGACCGTGCTGGCATTGTCTACCCTGGAAAGTCTCCAAGATCCCCTTACTCTGTTCCCATGGCAAGAATAACTTCATACACCTGACAGAGGCTGTGCTTTCAGGGGACAACACTGTCCTGCAGCCTGTCAGTGAAATTCTCTGCAATTACTCCTTGAAACACGTGGTTCTTTGCCGGTGCCAGCTGGCCAAAACGGACAGTACCTGAAAGGGGGAGTGAGGATTGAAATAAATAAAAGAAGACAGGAAAGACACTTCTTGGGAGGGCTCACAGTCAATAACCTGACAGAGGCTGTGCTTTCAGGGGACAACACTGTCCTGCAGCCTGTCAGTGAAATTCTCTGCAATTACTCCTTGAAACACGTGGTTCTTTGCCGGTGCCAGCTGGCCAAAACGGACAGTACCTGAAAGGGGGAGTGAGGATTGAAATAAATAAAAGAAGACAGGAAAGACACTTCTTGGGAGGGCTCACAGTCAATAATGCCAGCCTCGATTTATTTCAGTTCTGTCTATTTATACAGAAACTCAATTAGTTACAATTGCTGTATTTCCCCACCTGTATCTGAGGGTCAGGGAGTGGTCAGATCAAAGGCTTCTTGGATCCTTTTGTTTACCACTAATGCCTCAAGGTCAGGTATTGTGAGGCTCTCCAGAAAACTTCTTCCTCCTGAATGGGCAGGTTAAGTACTGGTTTGCATGACACAAACTCAGTAAACGAGGCTGCTGCAGCTCAATGATTAGCAGCTCCGGACAACGGAGTGCATTCAGGTCCCAAGTACAGCCCTGAACTGTCTTTAGGGAAAGCTTTTATACAGAAAAATCACATCAGGGAGGAAAGGTTTGAGCTTCCAAGCATTTCCATAGCTTAGGGGTAGAAAGTCCCTCTAACAATATTCTGCAAAACCAAGCCAAGCATGAAGCACCAAAGCCATAAATCTGCAGTTAAAAGGAACATGCTGATCTGTTCTCTAGGCAACCAGAGGCCTGCCGATGTATTTTCAAACTCATGCCTGGTGCAGCTGAGTGGCACCTACCTGTTCCCACACCCTGGGCCAACTGCCTTTTAGTTTACAGAGGCTAGATTCAGTCTGGATTCCAACATGGCGTAGCTATGGCCAAGAAGGTGCCTTATCACAATAGAAACTTCATACACTGTCTTCTAGAAAACTGAAGGGGAATCAGACTGAATGGTCCCCATCACAGATTTCTCCTGGTTCTGCACTGCATCAGAATTAGTGAAAACCTGAGCAGTGCATGAGCCTGAGGAATGCACATTTTTTGACAACCCATCCTTCCCAGAAGTGTCAGCTGCCTGGAGAAGACCAGGTCCATTATCACATGGTTAGTCTAGGTAAAGCTTCCTTCAATGCATAGCACCCTTGTCCTAGCTCCTGTACCAAGTGAGGACACACATACTGAATTTTCACAACCAACCCAGAGTGCTATGAATTACTTTCCTGAGAAAGACGAGAGGAAACTGAACAAGCATCAAAGTAGTAACAGTAGGGTTGTACTTGTGGCATATCAGGTACCTCAGCTTTGCACACTGTGGAAGGAGAAGCTTGGTGGCCTTGGTGCTTGGGGGCCATTCCATTGTCCAGTTAAAGGATCCTTCCACCTGACTTGGGCGTAGGTATCCTGTGACTGAGGATGCCACATTCTGTCTGCCGCAGAGTGGTCATTTTCATCCAAATTCAAAAAGCTTAAAATGAAAAGAGCATGATGTAATAGATTACTTGGTGTCTGGGGATATAACTCCCCTTTTCTTATTTTTTGTAATTGTGTTTTTAAAGCACCATGAGCTCTTTCCACTATACCTTGTTCTTGTGGGTTATATGGTATCCCAGTTTTATGCTCAATGCCCAATTGCAAACAGAAACGTTGGAATCCCTGACTGGTATAGCCAGCTACATAATGACTATCTGTATAGAGATTGAAGGCTGTTGAGGTCAGAAGCTGGAACACTGCAGCTACAGCGCGAAGCTCCACTACCTGTGCTGAAGCAGGGGAAGTTTGAAAAGAATAACTTTGTCCATAAATCACATAAGCTGCTTGTCCATTAGAAGAACCATCAGTAAATACCATACCAACTCATGCATAGTAGCAAATTGTAAATATTATTCCTTTTTTTTGATGCAGCA